AGGAGTCATACTACTTAATCTGGATACTCAGTAACATATTTGGCCAACAGTTAACAGGCTACTATCGTTCGTACATACTCGCATTTAATTTTAAGGCGCTCCTACTAACCATTTTATGGATTCTCTTTTAATCTAATCATTTTGCTAAGTACCAATTCCCATATCTATCATAGAACCATTGAAACATTCAACAGTTAATTGAAGACGAGATTTATGGACTTATTTATCTTTCTCACAATCATTTTAATTAAAATTTAATTCCGTTTCCCTGCAACATACATATGTGCATATAAACATGTACACAAAGATGTTTTAATTACCAGTAAATTATAAAAAATAGACATTTTACCATTGTTTATTTTAAATTTAATTTTAATTTTCCCGTTGATTGATTAAATCGAAATGTTCCACTTCTGTCAACATGTCGACTCATAGTACAGACGTTTACTCAATGGTTAAGGATTAACTTGAAGTAACTTGGCGGATATTAACTAGTCTAATATTTCAGTCCAGTCGAATTTAAAAAAAATAACAAGTGATAACCGTTGTACAAGAGGTGGCTTTCCTAGCTCAAATGGTCTAGTGGATATCACTTAGTCTTTCAAAGAGATGGAGACTTGGTTCGAATCTCCGTGGGAACACAATCGCTCACTGGAGAATGTAGGTACACCCCGATAACTAGTCTCGGAGTGGATGAAATGCTCATCCTAAGTTTCATCTGCTAAATTATTTCATCAGTGTACTCTTTTATATTTCATAGCTGGATGCATGAATGATTCTGTGAGATTGGCTATAGCTGAAAGAGTTGGAAAAGTTAAATATTGTCTTTCATACTCAGGGTGCTATTTGTGTTTGGATTTTTCTTAAAAACATCTGAAAACTAGTACATATGTGTCTCTTTACTTATACGGATAACAAAAAGAAGAGGAAATAAGATTAATTTTAATTTAATTTTTTAATTTTTGATTACAGCTTGATTCCACATTGTATTTTTGTTACAAGATTGGAATTTTCAGCATGGATATCGGTAGCCCAAATTTTGCAGGCCGAAAATAGATATCAGGTGTGCGTCGACAGGAGATCGAACCTAGGACCACGTGCATGGTCGGCGAGAGTCCTAACCACTGTGCCACCGACGCACAAAGCGCTCCCGCGCCGGGAGTCGAACCCGGCTCGCCTGGGTGAGAGCCAGGAATCCTAACCGCTAGATTCATCACTTTTCACTTTTCAGCGAATTCATTTTCTTTAGCTGTATAATCGCATATACACTTTTAAAAAAACCGAGTTCACCGAAAAGTTTCTTCACTGAAGTATGTGTTTCATGAACATCATGTGTCAACTCTGACTCATTGAAACTGTTTAAATATGTTTTGTTCATGATGATTCACTTCAGTTAACTTTATATTATTTCCATGATTGCTGATACAAGAAAGTCTAATTCCAACTGCGAAATGTAAGATCACTTCCAAATGAAATCAGTTCTATGGAAAAGTATGGGCACTCTGGCTGTAGTCTTGAAAATGTTTATAACCCATAGTCAGAGACTTTACACACTATGGTGCTGATGTCATCTCAGTGAAACGTCTTATACTTTCATCTTCTTTTATTATTTTTTCTCCCTTATTCAGTTTACTATTGTCAGTATTGTTTCTCATTATGTTTTGCATACCTCGTAGTATCACAATGTGAAGTTCAGATGATATTAAATCAATAAAAGTTAACAGGAAGACAATTTTTGTCAATTTCACCTAGTCTTTAGCATTCTTCTTTTATTAAGTAATACAAGATTTCAGAAATTAACGTTGTATTTCAAAGTATTAGTATATTACTACCAGCGTGTTTGTTTTAAATGTTTCTTCCACATTATAAGGTCGGAATAAGGACATATAACTGGTATACATTTTTTTTGTTTATCTGGTTACGTGTTACGGCAACTGGCATTTCAGATTATTTAACCAGCACAGATATCAACGTACATGATGATACAGGATTTATCTTCTTCACTTTGTAACTAGAAAACGCTTTTTTATTGTATATTTGGTTTTACTTTACAGCATTAATTTTACGCCATTATTTTACGTGAGTGACCCCTATCTATGTGTTATTTTCCTTTGAAATAATCGATTCATATTTATAACTATTCAGTTTCAACTTTGATACGAATGACCTCACTAAATTATTTATTTATTTTTTTTCAACTGAACATTTATAAAGGACTAGTAGTGCATTGATTTGTTTTAAAATTATTTATATTTAAATGCCAAAACAATTTAAATTTAGATATTTTGAGAGTAGAAACAAGTATCTGCAAAACTTGTTAAGCCTCAGCTGTGACCGATGCCTGAATTTCAGTCACCTTAACACAAAAACACTGTGATACGAAATTCTTGGTTCCGAAATTAGTTTAACTGCCATGCGGAGCTAGTTACATAGGGTGCACGATCAGGTAATTTCATCGTGGAATTTATGAACACCTCCCATCTTGGTTTGGCGAAGGTCTGAATAAAGCTGTACACAGCTGAATACTAGCTCATCTTGTCGATAACGGACATCACATCAACTGTAACAAAGCTTTTAAAGTTATTTATCGAATATCACCCAACCTGCCGCATGGTTTACGAGTACGACTTTTACATACAGCAGAGGCCACCAGAATTCATCTGAGCAAGCCGAATCTATGTGTTCAAAAGAAATTTGTATAGCCCCCTTTCTTTGCTATGGCCGACTGCATAATATTGTATTAAGTTTTTAAAAACGATTTTTCTCCTCTCCTTGTAACTATTTTTAGACTTTGTTAATTTTTAGAATTTTTACCATTCTAGGTAATTCTATTACCTTGTTTGTATTTCACGTAACTCTTCTGAGTCATCCTACTCTTCTTAGTCATCATTACTATTTTACTAATTTCTTGATTATGCAAAAACTTGTTGACAACGCCTAAGCATCAGCCTATCTTGAATTCTGTAATTAATTCCTCCCCCCCCCTCTTTTAAAACCTAGATATCTTGTTACTAACGTCTATTAGTTGTTTATTTTGATGACCTTTAACCTCTTAATTTCACTCTCGCCTATGCCTAACACTGATTAACTATATACAACAGACCTGATTTGTTCAGACATTGATCAAATAACGTCCTATTTTTCTTTTTCTGCCGTTTCATTACTACTCTTTTAGACACTGAATTTAGCTTGACCTTCTTTGAATTTTAGCTACATCCTACACAACTTCTGTTGATCATGTTATGTCATACAGCTGACTTACTTAATTTTGCTTTACTGTCTACATGATTAGCGTTTTTGTATTGCCTGATTCGGAATCTATTGATTCTTTTCTTTTTGTAAAACCAAAAATACTAGTGACACGATTTTGGAAACATGATTTTATTAACATGATCATGCGCTATGTATATGAGATTGTACAGATTGAGAAGGATATCGCTTGAAAAATTAACTCGTCGCTATACGCCTCTTGTTTTAATTTACTAAATATCGGCAAAGTGTAGTCCATATAATTTCAAACATTCCCTTCTCATATTACTAATGTAGAAGATAGCATGATATTATATTATTATATATTATTATTATATTATTATATATTATCTGTGAAAAGAAGAGAGGAAAACAAAAAAGAACCCTCAGGAGGATTATAGAATTAGCTAATAACGATTAACCGCTTAAAATAGACAACAGTGAATGGCAGTCAGTAGAATTAACATTCATGATAACCACATCACTGACTTCTTACCAAAAAGTTAAGTGATCTGCATGAAATCTTATACTTATTTGCACTAATGAATAGTTAAAACGTATAGCAGTAATAAACAGATCCTATTCTCTGGCTACTGGACATAGTCATATGAAGTCTTTATAGAAAAGATGTAAAACCCTAAGCTCACAAAGAGAGAGAGAGAGAATTATGTAGAAGAAAATCAAGTGGTTGATAGTATGTATACTACTGTTTTGATGTGTGCTATTGCCTATGTGAAGTAGTGATTCTGTACCATACATTTATGTTAAAACAGAGTTCATCATTAAGCGTTGGCTTTCAGGCAGTTTCCTTCTCTACTTATGTCGAAGTCATACAGTACTATCTCATAGAGAAGGCCGGTTCTTATGTGTCCCCACCATCAGATTCACTAATCACCAGTCACCACCCTCACACTTGTCATAGAAAGAAAGTATTATCCAATCAATTAGTGAAACTACAATCAAACTGCAAAATATCTGATAGCTAAGCCTGATCACTCACCAGAAGTATGTGCACTAAACAGAAAATGTCTATAAGCTGAGGGAAGCCTATTCTAAACCCTAGGCTACGAAAACACTCCATCACAATATTGCATAGAATTTATTTTGTTCACTTCCCCTTAATCTTTTAAAATATGATTTCTAATGGTGTTTCCTACACTTGTGAGTATTGAAAATGTCTACCACCTGATGATTCACTGGTGTATACTAAATCTGAGACAAAGCAGAATCGTAAGTGCCAACTTATCCCAACATATGAGATAACTATTCCTGAGATTTCTAGTACAAAGTACTACTACCTTTCTTTACCTGGCTTTCACCCAGATGCTGTGCATTTCTCGAAGATGGCAAAAAAGAAATATCATAAAGTTTTGGTTTTTACTTCAGGTCAGAGAGAAATGTATCACACAGACTACTGTCAGTTACTATTTCATCTGGAGATCCTGGAGAGAGATAAACTATTATGTAACAATTTCCAATGAAAATTCTGTATATAAATAATATAAACACTGTTCAGAACAAAGTAGTTATTATTATTATTATCTTATTCGACTTCAAGATGTCCCCAAATCATCCTAACAGAATGCGGTTTTAAATGAACTAGATTTGTGACCAGTTCGAATGAATGACTCTTTTGGTTTTGTATTCCTTAAATGGGTTGCCCTTGAAGACATGAATTTTTTTTTTCAAAATTTTGACTTATTTTGAAATGTAATTTAAATCTGTTATTTTTATTTCTTGTTCATTCACAGAATCCAAGTGAATCCGATTCCACACAAATAATGTCAAACATTTCAGACAACTCACTTAGCTACATCTCCGGAGGATTACAAATTGTTGACTACTTGGAGGATGATCTTTGGGCTGCTACTATTTTACAATGTGATAACAGCTGTAATTCAGATTTACTTAGACAACTTGAAGCTGGATGTCGGTTAGACCCGGAAGCTTATAGGATGGAACGTGTACAAACTGTGAAAAACCGTGAAACTGTTATCGACTTTCCTGGCAAACCAACAGTCAGAACGATAGGTTTAAGTCGAACTACAAGTGAGACAGATTCAATTGCTACAGGAGTTACTGGAATAGATTTAGATGCTGAATCGTAATCCAAATAATAAATTACAACTTCACAAACATATTTTTTAAACTGTATTTTTACTACTTTCAAGTAGTCAAAAGGAATATGTAAATTTTTATGAAACTGACAAGACCATGTAGAACACTCAACTAATCTTGTAGTGCATACATCCCTAAAATCCTTGAATTATATTTTGCTTTACATAGATTTCATTAAACTGAGCATACATATTCCATAAATCCAAGTTTTAAATCACTTGCGGTGCCGATTGATTGTGAAATGGAACTCATTCGCAATGAAAGCGCATACATCGACATAATTAATAAATAAAATCTACTATTACATAGGCAACGAAACAAATAACTTTATATATTCTAAAAGCGAGGGTAAAAATAAAATGTTCCTTTTTTAAAACTGATTATTTCGAGCAGAAATAATCATGCTTGTATTAAAACGATTGATCGCCGAATTTCTTTCCAAAGTTATGCATTAATATGTCTGTAGTCTATTGTAGTAGCCAGCCAAAATTCGTTGTGTTTCATTGGTCGTAGTACATAGCTGATTAACTCGATTGTAAATGAGCAACCTGATTATTCTAAATCATAAACAAATTTGGTTGGTGTATGTGATTTATGAGTAAGATATACTGACAAATTTATGTTGAGACAGGACTGATTTTGATGTGGTTGTGTTCTCTGAGCTGGATGGTTAATTTGCGAAGCTTTCATCACTCTACTGAAGTGAGCTGAAGTGAGCTCACTTCAAATTGAACTATGCGATGAAGATGTCACCCAGTAGGGTGATGAAAGCTTCGCAAATCAACCATCCAGCTCAGAGAACACAGCCACATCAAAATCATCCACCTGAGCTACAAATCTCCTCTACCATATCTACAGGACTGATTATTTGAAAGTAAGGAGAAAGGTGAAAGATTTCTATACCATTGACTAATTCATCCCTACAATGAGTGTTTATACTTCAAAAAACCTATTTCGGAGTGTTGTAAGCCTTAGAACCCGATTTTCTGTCTTTTCATTCCTCGTAAGTGTTATTTGTGTCTACCACCAGGATACGCAAAGGAGGAAAGTTGAAGTTAAATATGCGGATCACTAGCTTGAGACTCCTCGAAGTATTTCCGAAAAGTTCCGCTTAGTTTTCACAGGAATTATCCGCATTACAAGAGATAATGTGTCAAGAAATGTTAATCAAACTGCTTCAAATTTGGATTGTTTTTTTTTTTCAATTAAGTTATTGTGATGCTATATGAGCACTTCAGCTGTATGCTTCAATTCCGAATGTTTCCGATGGAAATTTATTTCTGGGATATGGCCTTTAATAATTAACATGCATCAATCCAGCATCAGTAACTGATATGGCTTGTAAAAATATATCACAACATGCCTCTAGGTCTAGTAAAGTTTTACTTATTGATTGATAGAAAACATTCTGTAGCTCAGTATAGTGCTTTTCGATAAATGAGCCAACATTTTTTGCAGGATATCTTCTGACGACATTATCTGAGTTTGAGAAATTATTATTATTAGTCAAGGGATAAATACTACGAAGCACCATTAACAAATTCGTTTCAGTTTACTATTCACTTCCATTCTTTGAAAATGAATCGAGCCAACTAAGTATGCGTTGAAAAACTGCTGCCTCTACAAACAACTATTGGAAATGAATAACACAGAAAGCAAAGGTTATTATATCAAGTTCCGAATTTTGTAGTTGTTTACAGTATTTGAATTCTACATAGAAGTGCACTATGTTACTTCAGATTTGTTCTGGTTAGCATACTGTGTCAGTATTCTCCCGGCTCATTATTCAGTAACCATAAGCAACTGCGCCAAATGCAATACAACAAAAGATAGAGGTTCTCCTTTCAGCCAGGTATAACGGCAGTGAACAGAGTGCGATAGAGATGTGCTGTTGAAGGTCTACGTTCCAACTGAGACTCAGAGAAAGAATAATAATAATAACTACCTATTGAAGTACACCTTTCAGATCCCGAAATCGATACCGATCCTAATGACTAGGAAATTTCATTGCAGTTTGAAGGCGGCTCATATTTTTCTTACCTGAAGTAATTATCAGAAATTACGTTGTGAAAGAATAGAATCAGTGACTGAAGAGGAAGATGAATCATAGAGTTATTCACAGTAATCTTATTTGAATTTTGTGAATTTCTACATTATTCCATCGGGATTAGGTTTCTCCTAGTTAACGTTTTCTGTTGCCCTTATTGCTCTGGCAAAATCTTGGAATTATCAAGCAAATTCTCAAATCGTACTCATTTTCTTCAGTGATTACACCATACACTGTCTTTAGCACCACGCATTTTATGACAAAACGATGTTACGCGAATTTTTGGCGCGATCTAATTCTTCACTTATTTTGACTACAGGTTCAAAACCGAAAAAAGTAAATGAGCACTGATGATCGGCGTTGAGTGTTAATCATTATTGTTTTACTAAACTTGTTTAAATTAAGAAACTGAGGGAAGTGACAGTCCTGCTTTCAATCGCTTTTGCATACATATCGGTTCATTGAAACATCTGCTAAAATATACATGAAGTTGTGGGATATCAGACAGCTTTTGCTGCGTGGTCTAGATAATAACATCGTCTTCGCAACAATCAGATAGCATAATAATCGATTCATTTCATATGGATTGTTAGTGAATGAGAATAAGGTTCACTTTCATACAGCTTTCTTTTTCTACAGTGCTATCCTGGCATGATCATCAGGGAATAAATTGTCTAAAACAAGTGATCACAAATATTTTATGGCACCGGTGATAACAAGGGGAGTAGCTCTAAAATCTTGTCTCGGTATAATATCCTGCTTCCCCATGAATTAGCAAAATTATCTGCCCTCTTCGTGGAATTTTATTGGATAACAGTACCCCAACTCTCGTGAAACTAGGAATTAGATAACCTAAAAACGATTAACTTAACTCAGCTCCGCAAAGAGCAGAATAACGGAGTGACATTTAGTCAGGAGAAAAACTTAAGCATGACTAATACACTACATAATACTATGTCATAATGACAGAAAGTCAATTTGTAGTTAAACTGGAATCCTTGAAGTTGCTTCTCTTAGTGTAGATATCAACAATAAATGCTGTGTGCATGAATAAAAACTTTGGAACAGAATTCTTCCGGAGAAATACAACAGTTATCATTCTTTCTTTTAGCTTACATATTTTGTATTTTAATTTCAGCGTCATGACAGCTATGAAATGCTAATACCACAAACTCCGTTAGAAGTTATTTATTCCAGCAAGATATAGCATTCTGAAAGCCTGATCGTTTTTTACCTGGTTACTTGACTAAGTAGAATATGTTATACATGGAAGTGACCATAGTTCATCTTAAAGTACCCTTTGGTCTTACTTGATTAATCAATAAAACTTACGGATGATGAGGAATAATACAGCTTTGAAGACCTCCCAATGTCTTGGCTCAATTTGTCCAGGGAGGGTTGCGTTGACGTGGTAAATTTCTCTAATAGTTTCTCTTTCTTTAAACGTATATAATTTAGATTCATCTGAGATTGTGTTTCAGAACAGTTACCTTTCATTCGAAATGAAAAAATGTACTTAGAGATTGGGTTTTACATGTTAAGTATTTTGGGCAATGATTTGAAGATTTATTCTGAATAACAACTAAAGGATGTTCCACTTAGATTATAAATGAACTTATGAGTATGTTTATGCCTAGAAAAGTTTGTTTTAAATAGAATTCCGGACTGGCATAATTTCCACTCTAATGTCGAAATGAACTTTAGGAAGTAACCTTTATCAGATGTTAACCTGCCTGAAGGACGCTGACTCAGCATATCCTGAAATTCAAAAGCTTACTAAGTATATGCGATTTCTGGTTTTCAAATGAAGGTAATTCAACTATTTTCTTCATAGAAGCTTACAAACTCCTGATACCGTAATTCGTTGTTATGAATCTATGATTCTCTCAAAACGGACAATGCTACTAACCTTATGTAATATTTAGGTTAAAAATCTTTAAAGTACAATCAATGGGTGCCCACTAACCCCATAGTGAAAGGCTCACTCCAGAGACGTAGTGTTAGTACTTAGAATGAAAGAAATTTGTTCAGGATTTCTAAAGTTAAACCATCAATAGAGACCGGGTATTTTGGCTCAGCATAATCCATCAACGGGAAATGCAAAATTAACCCAATAACTTCTCCAATGGAAATCTCAGATATAGCTGCTCTGTTGCTTTCATCAGTCAGATCTCTGCATTCAGCCTGACAAAATGCGAACACTTCAAATACCACTTGAGATTACAACCAAAGTGCCAAATTATACAGCAGGAGAAATTTGACTTTTACCAAGCTGACATCCATCTCTTACCTAATTTTAAAGATTCCCAAATGAAATTTACCAATGTAACGACATCCACTGACTCATATTTCCAGTTATTCATACCGTATCACTGTATACTATATCGAAAAAGCTTTGTATAATATCTAATAATTCAAAGAGACCTTTTAAAAGATATTCTACAGAGAAAAAAGCCATGAGAAAAGCACAATTTATTACTTTTATAAAACGGAAAATGTCCAACTGTTTCTGAACGATGGCTTCATCCGTGCTCACTGTTTTCCCAAATATCTCATGCTTTGTATACGCGAGTAATAAATGCTTTTTAATTTCCTAAGAGATATTTACTTACTACTCTTATGGTTTACAGCAACAGATTATTAACTGTTTTAATCATGCAAGTTCATAGTGAAGGAATCTGAGTGACTGACTGGATGGTTTCAGCTTAGAACTTTGCAAAGATGTGCAGCAGTTCAAGTTGTCACACTCCATGTAACACACAAAACAAGAGAAGAAGAGTTAGGAGAGATTTAAAAAAGAGATAATAAAAAGAAGTATGAGTTAGGCAAAAAGAATAATAATATGGAAGAACCATAGAATTTTATTGGATATGATAAGTCACAAGGTGTTGTTTGCACCTGCGCCAATGAGGATGAATTTGAGCCATATCACCAGTTGTCTCCAGCTGTCATTGGTTTTTACCATCCCAAGGACCTTAAACAGTCAGGTAGTCTACACCTCTCTACGTGGTTGGCTTAAACTAACTGTTGTGGATTTCACCGAACAATGAAGCTATGTTTCCGTTTGACCACAATAAGCTCTTTCCCAGCCTGATCAGTCCTATGTCAACCAACATTTTCCGTCAAGGAATACGATGGCTAGGCATGCGTAACACATTTCCTAACCACCTCATTCGATTTAGTTTCCCAACCTAGTTGGCTGACATCTGAATGATACCACAGTTAAATAACATTCAAATCCATTAACTCACCCAGAGATGCTCTTCGTTAACTTAAGATTTCTACTGACCTGATTCAACAAAATAATGCATGTT